CCACAGAGCTGCTTCATGGAAGAAGAACCTCAGCTTAGCCTGTTAGTCTTTGCACTAGCGCCAACACTTTATTGCCGTATATGTATTAGCTCGGCGCTAGCGCAACAAACAGGCTAAACTGAGGTCCTCCATCCATATTTTCAGTTACAGGCTGAGTCATTTCTACCTTCTCCTCTCTGTCAACGCTCTCTGGTTTCATTTAAGAGTCGATCATCAGTTATTGTCCAAGTTTAACCTTCAGGGTGGATATAGCTCGCTAGCAGCCTCGCACAGAGGACCTATCCACATCCTCATTTACCAAGAATGCTTTGTGTGTGAATAAAATGGCTCCGTCAGTGTTAAAATATATTTTTAAAAATGTACAAAACTAAAACAGCCTACAGTATTTTTAGTCTTTATTTTACAGTTAAAATAAATGTTTATCAAATAAAGTCTAAAGTTACAACTAATCGTGGATCCTCTTAAGTCCTGATGCGTTAAAAAAAAGGGGGACAGATCTTTACCTTCATCTCCGTTCACCACTCCATTCATTGCTGCCACATTCATCAGTGCTGCGATCCCTCCATCCTCCCTTCCCCCGTGTACCACCACCTCCTCATCTTCCTCCTCCTCCTCCTCCTCCTCCTCCTGGTCCCGCTCCATCGTCTCCTTTTCCTTCTCGGTAGAGGGCGGTGGCGGCTCGCAGCTCACTACGGTCACTTGGGTGCATTTCCCGTACAGGTCCACCACGGCCCAGAGTTTGGACGGCAAGCCGCTGGCGGCGGCGCCACAGTCCTGCCCGTTCACCCACAGGTGGAGCTCGCCGCAGGAGCTGCGCTGGATGCCCACACGGTCGCCCTCGGCCAGTTGGTCCAGGTCGCGGCCGTACTCCTCCAGGACGGAGCGCCCGTCGCGGAGCACCGAGCAGCCCGACACGATCCAGGAGCCGCCCTTCAGGCCCGTGGCRCTGCTGGGGAAGTCCAGGGAGGCGGGGTCCAGAGCCGTCACGCCGATTTCTATAGAGCCGCTCCACGAGTTCACCTGAGAGGAAAAAAAGAAGCGTGGCATTTATAAATATCACCTACTGGAACTGGAAAAAATCACAAACCTAACAGCACCACAGACACTTGGACTAACGATGCTAAATATTACAACCTTAAARTCACTGTTTTTGCATTAATTATTATTTTCCCCTAAATGTAAAATACTGAAAATAATCAGTTAAGTAAAAGCATGAAKACGTTTCCTGCGTTTACCAAAACTTTAAGCATCTTTTTGAGAAAAATGAAACATTTGTCTAAAATAAATCCATTTTAACAACAATAACGCTATCAAAAACACGACTTCAGGAGCAGAAAGCAGAAGCAGAGTCATCAGCAGCTGTTAGTCGATCCATAAAAGACCTTTTATTGTTGTGATGAAGACGTGATGCTCTGAAGCTACTGATGAAGAGCAGAGCTAAAAACTGCACACGGATCTAAACATAGTCTGTTGGGTTTTGTGATGCGTYCTGTTATTTTTATCCATTCTGTCTTTTCAGGGATCATTTGTTTGAAAACCAACCAGAAAAAAATAAGAAAAATGTGCAAAAACAAAACATTTCTGAAATAGGACGTTAAACTGATGCATTGTGGAGAATTTCACAT